AGAGCAAGCCTGTGTTAGTGTTCAATTACTGTGTGGTACACAAAGGTGAGGGTTTCACTGCTAATGAAAAGGTGCAATTTGTTCAGAGTCAATAAAGGCCTGTATGCTGAGCACAGAGAGCCCTTATTAGTTTCCCAAGAACGCAGCACACAAACCCAAAACTATATGTTCACTGATAAAGGTTTAAAAGGAAACGCGTTTACGCCGCTGGTAACAGTCGGTTTACGGTCAGAATGATGTCTGCATGCTAAATATTTTGTTTATGTTTAAAGGCTGAATCCTAAGCACATGTCCAAAAAACACTGTATTACCATGGTACCTGTACCATGTCCAAATAACTGTTTGAATCTCATGAATACATGTCCAGTAAATCCATATACGTGTGTGTGTGTGTGTGTGTGTGTGTGTGTGTGTGTGTGTGTGTGTGTGTGTGTTTGCATAGTATATATTTTGAGCAGTTCATAAACATAAATGTTAAATACATATAAAATATAAATATATCAAATTATTTAATAAAATGTTGAATATGTGAATGTGTGTGTATAATGTGTGTAAAATTATGATATATAATGTATATAATAAATTAAGTTTTATTTAAAAATTAGGCAAATAAGAAAATAAGCATTGTATAAAAAGTGAAAAAAGCATAAAAATATCTTAAATGATAATAATATTTAATTGATATATAAACAAAAATATTAAAATATGTATTACATTAAAATGTATATATTATATTAATCTATTATATTATAAATTAAATATTTTATGTACATAAATGTATATAATAAATTAATTTTTAATATTAAAAATATTTAAAATAAAAGAATTGTTTGATGTTTCATATACATTTTAAGCAGTTTAAATATGCTATAAACATGTCATATAAATATATATATTAATTATATATTAAAATAAAAAATGTTATATGATGTATAGAATTATACACAAATGTGTAAAATTATATTCAATATATAACATAATTTAAAAATATATATATAATATAAAAAGTGTGTATAATTATGATTTCTGTTTACAATTTGTTATGTATTTATTTTATATACAGTATTTAAACTATGTAATGTGAAAATAAAAACAAATTGGTTTATACAGTACAATAAATACATTTAAAGATTCTGTAATATATTTTCTTTATATATTTTAGGCAGTTCATACATATAATTATATGATTTTTTATTTTTTTTTGAAGAAAATTAGGCCTAATTTTATTTATTTCTTTTGAGGTGAAATATGACTTGAACATGTTTTTGAAAGTACAATGGCACATTCTGATTGTTAAAAATGGTTGAAGTACATCATATACTAAAGAACCACTCAGTATATTAGATTCTGCTTTACTTACCATCATATTAGTTTCTATGGGACATACAATTGGGCACATCTTCAAAGACCAATGCTTTGGCATCATTAGTTCATCATTAGTTCTGCTATCCCTTCACACTCAGCTTGTTTGTAAGTTTGTCAGTTTGTTTTTTCACTAAACTGCCATGAAATCTAATTACCCTGATTAGCTTGGCTTCATTCCGAAAATAATCTGCAAATGTGACACAATGTAATTTAACAAAGTCTATTCAGCTCACAACTGCGCGAGGCAAAGGGGAGAAATGATAAGAGCGGCTGAGAGCCAATCAGAGAAGAGGGAGAGCAGCTATCGGTCATGCTAAGCCACCTGACTGGTGCTGAGAGACGCTTTGCTCGTGGCTCTGCCATTCGTTTTGACAATCAAAACACACAGGTGGAGAACAGATAGCCGTAAACTACACATTTAATGAAACGCTCCAACCATCAGATAAGAAAAAGATGCCTTTTACAAGAGATGTGAGTCCAGCGACTCCAGCCCCATGGAAAAATGGAAATGTGTGTTTGAAAGGGTGTGAGAAATAGAGGGGAAAAGGAATGGAAAGGACAAGAAAAAGGCAACATTTAAAGTATATATGTTTTTGGTAAACAAAGAAACAGATGCAGAAAGAGAGATCTTTACAAAAAGTACCATGGTACTTCTCAAATAGTATAGTATTTCCATCAGATATCATTACTGAACTGTGGTACCACAACGGTACTTTTTGTAAGAGTGATAAGACTGTAAGAAAGCACAAGCGCTAAAGCAAAATGGAAAAAACGTGAGAAACTATTTTATTAAGTACCCTGACAGGTGTCAAAACAGGGTTGAAAGAGCAGATCAGATGGCACACTTGCTGAGCACAACGGAATAATGGTGTACCGCGGGGATTCCTTTGAAGTGTTTCACGTTTTCTCCCTTTTACTGCCTTTATTTGCTTTGAAATGACTGCGGCTCTGGTGAGCCGGGAATCCAGGTTATCATGCGGTGTGCGCCCCCACAGCGCTGAATCACATAGTGGGAATGAGCTCGCAGCAAACTCACATGTTCAACTTAGAAAACTTCAAATCCATCTGACTGATGCTGAAGCATTCCACTGCGGCTTCTGCTGCAATATTTAACACTGTGCTATACTGCATTATAAATGCTTGCATGGAATGCCAGAAAATTCCACAATATGGTTATTTTTAGCATATTTAGCATATCTCTGGGAATTAGTCAAGTTAATGGTCTTGGTTCGTAACCAAAGGAGAAATTAAATTAAATGAAATAATGTGAGGTATTTGTAAATCAGATCAGCTAAAACACTGTTACAAATTAAATTCATAATGTTTCGTGTTTACTTCCAATAGTCAAATGAGATCAAATAAATGAAATGAATGAAAAAAATATAATAACATCTGCTGCAGTTTCTGTAAAATAAC